CATAAAATCTCTATTGAATTACTAAACCTGTTGCACGAAGAAAAAGAGATAAATAAGCAGATGACAACCTTCCAGAATAAGACACGATGATGGTTAGTTGGAATGTCAGCTCGACTGGATGAAGGAGTATCTAGAAAAAGCAAAAAGCATTACTCTGGGTGTGTCCATGGAGATGTTTCCAGAAGGAATTAACATAGGAGTCTGAGCAGACCAGATGTGGACAATCTGCTCTTAATGTAGGCAGGTATGATTCAATCAACAAGTGGCCCAGAGAGAATCCATGTGGGAGACAAATGAGTCTCTTCTGAGACAGGGCCAGAGAGAACTCTTCCGTTGCCTTGGACATTAGAACTCAAAGCTCACCTGCCTTCAGACTCTAGGATTTACATGAAAGGCACGCCAAGTTCTCCAGTTTTCAGCTTCAGCTGTGAATTACATCAGCTTCTCTGCTCTGATGCCTTCCAGACTTGAACTGAGTCACACTGCCAGAATCTAGAATCTCCAGCTTTCAGAGGGCTGTCATAGGACTTCTCGGCAACCGTAATTGTGTGAGCTGACTCCCCCAGTAAGTCCTGTCTCATGCATCTCTCTCTCTCTCTCTCTCTCTCCATATATATCATCTTTTCATTTCAATTAACCACCATCCCAAACATTACTCTGGTGTTATGTTGGCTGGAATGGAACCCGCCAAATAGCTATTAGTCACACTCAATCACTATGCCTTCGTCTCTAACTCAGGTGTCAAAAATTTAATTATCATTTTGGGCAATCTTTTTAATGTAATGTTTTAAAAGTTGGAAGTTCATTGTACAATCTTTTTGCCTTTTTTTTTCTTTTCTTTTTACTGCCAGAGAACTCATTCACTCACCAGAGAGAGAGAAGGAGAAAGCACCCTCCCCAGTAGGGCATGGTAATGCCACCATCCCTTCTCTTCCATTTCTCCTGCCCATCAGGATTTTGAACATGCAGGCACATATGCCCAGCATGCTTTTCAAGCCTTCATAGCCAAGATTCAAACAGCCCTCCGCATGTAAGATCCATCTTTCAATGTACAGCTCTTACCCAGTGTGCTATAGGACTGACCCTCACACTACAGACTGGATAGAGCATCTTAAATTTATAATAGCAGGGCCACCCCGTAGTGCAGAGGGAGACAGATTCATGAAAGCCACAGCCCACACAGCTGACCACAGTTCAAGTCCTAGCCAAATGGCTTTAAAAACACACCAAGTACGTGTGTATGTGCCCAGGATCCTGAGGGCACCGAGAAGTGGAGGAAAAAGGATTGTGGTGGGACCAAGTCCCAATGTGGGTGCTCACTCTATCTGCCTCTCTCTGCCTTTGACAAAATAATAATAATAATAATAATAATAATAATAATAATAAATCTATTAGTATCCCCTTCTTATTTAAGGAATAATGACAGTATTTCTCTCCACTGAGTTTTCATAGCATATGAAGTCTTTCATCGAAGTATAAAAGTGGTAAAGGTAAAGAAAACAGTATTATAAACATAGAACTCTTCAATAACGTTTTACTGTAAATAGTGAAGAAGACTCCAGTAAAAGTCGCAAATTTAAATCTTTCTGTGCTACAACAAGCGAATGGTGCTGGGACTACTGTGTGGTTTTACACAGTCATAAAGGTTTGTTTTGTTTTTTAAATGTTCCCAGGGGTCATGTCTTCTCACCAGAGAGAGAGAGAGAGACAAAGAGACAGAGAGGGAGAGGAACAAAGCATCTCCCAGTGGGGTAATGTCATACCACAATCCGTTCTCCTTTTCTCCGCCTTGTAAGGGCTTTGATGCACGTGCACACACCCGCCCTGTTTTTCAAACTACCAGGTCCAGGACATAACCCAGGCAGTCAACCATGTGGGATCTGGCTTCCTAAGCCATTAAGCCTCAGGGCTGGCTCAAGCTTTTGTTTTGACTCAAAAGAAAAGAAAGAAAATAGGAGATTCCACAGAGAAGAGAAAATCTGACCATCACTGAATCAGCAATCTACTGAACCCTAATCCTCAAGAGTTGTCTATCTTAAAATTCTGTCAACAAATACCAGGAAGTCATCTTTTTATCATTTGCAAACTAAGTATTCTAATAGAGCCACTGTCCACCCCAAGAATAAACCTTGTGTTCCAGTGTGAAACTGATAAATGAACGATGAGTAGCTGAAAGAATGAGTAAAGATACAGACACATCACTCAACATTGCCTTCCTTACAGCAAAAACAGGAAAAGTATCTTGTAAATTCTGTCACCACTGTCATGTCTATAAAGAAAGCAAAAATTATGTTCAAAAAGAAAGCAAAAAACTATTGGCAAAAATCCCTAATCAAGTGACCGCATGGAAAGTCACATAAAATCAGTGGGTTATGATAGGAAAGAGCAATCTATGGTACGTGTGTGTGTGACAGAAGTTACTTCACATTCAGTCAAAGCACTGCAAAATATAACCTAATTCCTGACACACACATGGCTTACATATGAAGGAGAAGTGTTCAATGACTTTTGAGCTCCAGGAAAGAGATTAAGAACTTGCGCTGAGGGGCCAGTAGGTGGCATGGTGGTTGGGGTGCTAGACTCCCACATGGGTGACTACAGTTCGAGTCCTGGACCTGGTGGCTTGCTTTCTCACTTTCCCTTTCTCTATCTCCCTCTCTTGTAGGTATACATGCCCTACAGCAAATGAAAATAATAACAATAATAATAATTAATAAAATAAAATAAATACTTTAAGAGAAAGAAAGAACTTGGATTGCAAACTAGAAAACAAAGGTTAAGGTCAGGGCTGATGGTACACTGGCCACATATGAAGCTAAAAAGAATACTTCTATTATTATATAGTTAAAGATCTGCTCTTGCAAAGAATTCACATGTAGCTGGACAGACAACAGTCAACCATCAGCAGTATGCCCCAATCAGGGAGTCAAGTCAAAGGAGCCAATGGAAATCATGAACATGATCAAATCACAGCTGACAGTGTTCTTCTCAGTGTGCTGTGCGGAAAAAATGGGCAACACGAACCACTCTGCTTCCGTGATCAAATATAATCATGATTAAGAAGAAGTGGGCTTGGGACCAGCAGTTAGCGTAATGGCTATGTCGCTGGGCTCCCATGTAGTCGACTGCGGTTCGAGTCCCGGACCCGGTGGCTTAAACACACCAGGCGCGTATGCATGCATGCCCAAGATCCCAAGAGGAGAATGGAGAAGAAGGAATTGCGGCATGGCCATCCCCCCTGGGGCATGATTTCTCACTTTCTGTCTCTCTCTTTCTGGCGAGTGCACGCACCGTATGGCAAAAAGCTCTCCAAAAAAGAAGAAGAAGAAGAACAAGAACAAAAACAAGAAGAACAAGAAGAAGAAGAAGTGGGCTTACAACAGTTATAGTGATGGAGAAGGTGAGATTGTAAAAATGGTTTTTCTTGTCACTGGTAATGTAAAGAGATTTCTTTTTTGATTCTAAGTGGCAAGTGTCAGTGATATATTCAGCATCTTGAAGAAGCTAAGCTTTGAACTTCGAGGCTAACATTGGGCTTGGGACCAGCAGTTAGCGTAATGGCTATGTCGCTGGGCTCCCATGTAGTCGACTGCGGTTCGAGTCCCGGACCCGGTGGCTTAAACACACCAGGCGCGTATGCATGCATGCCCAAGATCCCAAGAGGAGAATGGAGAAGAAGGAATTGCGGCATGGCCATCCCCCCTGGGGCATGATTTCTCACTTTCTGTCTCTCTCTTTCTGGCGAGTGCACGCACCGTATGGCAAAAAGCTCTCCAAAAAAGAAGAAGAAGAAGAACAAGAACAAAAACAAGAAGAACAAGAAGAAGAAGAAGTGGGCTTACAACAGTTATAGTGATGGAGAAGGTGAGATTGTAAAAATGGTTTTTCTTGTCACTGGTAATGTAAAGAGATTTCTTTTTTGATTCTAAGTGGCAAGTGTCAGTGATATATTCAGCATCTTGAAGAAGCTAAGCTTTGAACTTCGAGGCTAACATATCACAACTGTAAATATCAAAGACGAGATATTTAAATTTCATAAGGAGGTGAGTTATGCTACAGATGATCCTATCACTCAGGAGTATATTTTTTCCAACACTTTATTTTCCTCATTCATCATAGAAAAAAGTCAAGGTCACTGTACAACTTTAAAAGCTACATTTTTAAAGATTTTTCAGAGGTTGTGTGTGCTCACATGAGTGAAGGAGAGGGAAATCAGAAAGTATCCTCCATGGAGCATGGTCACGCCACAATCTCTTCTCCAACTCGCATTCCCTGTAGGGTTTTGGGCAGACACGATATACACCCACCATGTTTCTCAAGCCTCCAGATCCAGTACTTGAGCTGTGTGGTCAGACACTGCATTAACCCCCATGCCATGAGCCATAACCCCCATGCCATGAGCCAGTCCAAAAGCTACACTTAAATGCTGCCCCAGAGCATGAGAAAATGATTTCCCCAGCCTAACCAACCAAGTGCTGAATAAGAATGTAAGTCGTATTCTCTTTCACACATGAATATTCGTCCTTCTGTGTTCCAAATACAATGTAACTGTTGATCTAACAGACTTTGAATGTAGTCTGCAGTAATGAATTACTACTCCATAGTACCTGTATGAGAGTGTAATTCCAATAACTAAACCAACTAATAAAGCAGCTATTAAGCAACTGCTGGTACCCTGGGTGGCTACGATTGTGATTTAGTAAAAACAAGGAGGAAGAACAGAAAATATCTCGAGCCAGAACCTAGCCTAATGCTCAGGCTGACAGATAAAGATACCAAAGCAGGAAAGAAAGAAGAGAGAAGAAGAAGAGAAAGAAAAAAAAGAAATTAAGGAAAAGACAGAGAGAAAGACAAAAGAGAAAGAAAGAAAAAGGAAGAAAGAGGGACCAGCAGATGGCGTAATAGCTACTTCGCTGGACTCCCATGTAGTTGACGGTGGTTCAAGTCCCGGCCCTGGTGTCTTAAAACTCACACCAGGCGTGTGTGCATGCGTGCCCAAGATTCCGAGAGGAGAATGGAGGAAAAGGGATTGCAGTGTGGCCATCACCCCTGGGGGGTGATTTCTCACTTTCTGTCCCCCTGTATCTCTCTGTCTTTCTGGCGAGCCCATGTGCCCTATAGCAAAAACCTCT